TCTGAACACAGCAGGGATTCGGATCCTTTATGCATCAGTGCAAGCGGGAGAGGACCACCCCGCCGCCACCGAGCGCTGCACGGGACTTTGCCCCGGCGGCAGCGAGGAAGAGAGGACGAGGAAGAGATAGCCTGGGGTGCCGGCGCGTCGCCGCCCGAGTCGCCCAATAGGTGGCGCGTGGGCCAAACGGTCCGTGAGTTCCACTTGGATTCCACTGTACGTAATTGGTGTTGAACACACAAACACTTGTCCACGGCGACTATCTCTTTGCATTATGTATGTTCTTGGTATTGTTTCGCCATGAGTTGTCATTTGGGGACTTCTTGTACCTTTTCTTTTTTGAAATTGGGACTTCTTGTGCCTTTGGAAGGTAAATACTGTAGTGTCAAAACGCTTTTATATTATGCGACGAAGAAAGTACTTCTTTTTCACCTGGTGCTAAATCTAAAACATTTGATCTAATTATTTCATCCGGGTGACGTTTGATCTATCAACCACATTCAGTACAGTGCAATACAGTAGTGTGACGTACAGTGGGCCTCAATGCCTTAAAGTATCCCAGGCTGAAAATCTTTTAGTTAAAATAAACATTCACTATGATTTATAACATAAGAGACTAACAACGCACAAAGTGAAGTCCCTTACTGGACTCAATAGTTATGAGCTCGAAAGGACAGAAGTGATATAGCTAGGCGCGTCGCTGAAATAAATTTTTAGCGAGGGTTATTCAGAATGACCATTGTAAGATAATTCAGCTAATTAATTATGCACCTTAATAGGAAAATTCACGGAAAATGACACAATTTAATGACTAATGGTCATTGTCAGAACAACCATGCATGTATACTGCAGTCAGAGTATATATCATCATCTTAATATATCAGAGTTATGCAGCTTAATATGTCGGTAGTCGAAAACACCCAACAATTTCTACTGATTTTTCAGGGATAATTTATATCATCATCCACAAGTTAAGTATTGGGACCAAATACTCTTGCTTGTTTAGTACTCCCTCCGTCCCAATTTATACTAGAGCTAATATAAAGTTGAGACACTTATTTTGGGACGGAGTGAGTATGATAACGGAACTGGAAACAAGTTTTGATGCCATGCTACCCGTAAATGGGAAAAGTAATTAAATATTTGAGGGATGGGAGATCGAGGAGCAACTGCAATGAAATGGAATGGAAAAAGGCAATCACCCATGATGCTCACGAGATCGAGAGGAGAGGACGGATCGGGACTCGGGAGCGAGAGGGACGTTTGTGTTTTTTTTTTCTGGTCCTGGATACGTTTGTGTGCGCCCCTTAATCGTGGCCCGTGTCAGAGTATGTACATATAACCCCTGTGCTAATCAAAGTGTGGTGAACATTCTCCCTAATCCTCGTCTAACATGGTGGTATCACATACCCCCTCTCTTCTCAACCCCTTTGTGCAGAACCACGATCCTGCTTCCGCCGCCATGGAGCATGCCGGTGATGATGATGCTGACGCCGTCTCGCTGGCCAACGCGCCTCCTGCTGCTGGCGCACCCGGTGTAGGCCCAGTCGCCGCAGCTCCACCACCAGCCATACTCCCACACGCGGCGGCCGTGCCTGCGGTTGCTGCCGCGGCTCCGCTTCCTCCTTTCTTCCCATCGTTCCAACCGTCGACATTCGCCGACACGTCCCCATCACACTTGACCTACTTGCCGGCAATTACTCGCAGTGGCATCGACACTTCGATACCGTCATCGGCATGTTCAGGCTGCGCGATCACGTCGACTCGAGCCGTTCCATGCTTTGACGACTTGGAGTGGCAGATGGTGGACCACGTCGTGGTGCACTGGCTCTACACCACCACGTCGTACCGCATTTTTGCCATGGCTACATTTTTTTAGTGTAGTGGCGAATTTATGTGTTTTTCGACGATTTTCTCACACCCTTGTTATGTCATTGGCGGGAGGTGTGGGGTTGAACTTTTTCAATTATGTAGCATTGAAATTTTTTCTCACCTTGTATTTTGACATTTTTTTTCTTGTGTAATCACTATGGCAAATTACGTAGAAATTTGTGTATCTTTTTTTTTGCGGGGTAATTTGTGTATCTTCTTTGCATGGCAATTTTTTTAAAATTGTTTCCATTTCTATGCAATCTTGTGGCAAATTCATGTTGTACATAATGACAATTTTATGTGCTATTTTCTATCTCATAATTTGGTTTTGGACAATAGTCTTAGTCTTATACATCATGGCAATTAGTGGCCCATTGTTTACTAGCGCCCACTGCAGCGCATAGTGGGCTGGCCCACACTGAACACAGCAGGGATTCGGATCCTCTATGAACTAGAAGAACGCCCGTGGGTTGCAACGGGGCCACATTAACTTTAAGAGTTCAATATTTTGACATTGGCGATCTTTTTTACCATCAAATCCTCACACACACTCTCTCCCCCTCCCTCTTCCTCCCTCTCTCTCCCTCTCTCTCTCTCTCTAACACACACACATAGCCTATTCTCCAGGCCAAGAAGACTTACTCAATTGGCAATAATGTGTGGACTTGTGGTGAGCTTGACTTAACTAATGGATAGTATGATATATTCCCCAATCATTTAACAATGAAATTTCAGAAATGGGAAGATTATGTAACACCTCAGGTCGTTAGCTACAGTGACCTCCCCCTAACGATGCCATGTCATCAGGCTTACTAAGCCAAACTGCCACTTGATAAAAATCAAAGCCCAATTCAAATTTAAAATAAAGTCAAATA